GTAATAAACCAGGAATCAGTTCCTTCAATCTCTCACACATCGGAGGGTCACACCACATAAAGAAGATGCATCCACCCACATATTGGCTTCAAAGACAAGTGAGAAATCTTCTTCCCGGGTTCAAGTTCGTCCACGAGGTCTTCATCTGCACCGGGAACCACATCTGCATATATTCCCCTCCATGTGCGTGCTGATTTTTTTACTACCTGTGAGAGAGAAGGTAGGAGGTAATATATAGTGATAAAGAAATGGAGGGAAATAGACAGTGAAGTATATAATATGAGGGAAATGTGTGTAATGCCCATGTTGCCCTTCACTTATTTGGGAAAAATTCTTGAAAATATCATTAAAGGGGTAAACTGACGATTTTGACAGTCAAACAGACGAAAATCGTCATTTTGGACTGGCCCCACACATTTTTAAAGGTTTGGTATCTCTGGTGGCACAAACTAAAGGATTGGGCAAAGTCTGTTAATAAACAAAAGATTTGGTACCTCGGCTGCAATTTTTCCTAAAATATATAATGATTTCTCCCGAAGGAGCCTGAATTGAAGTAATTAAATTCATACGTAATAACGCATTTGAAAAGATGTGGAAAAATCACTAATAGCACTGAGTATCTCACCTTTTGAAGATAAAAGTGGAGGACAAAATTTGCAAAAAACGTGATTGAAATTCCAAAGCCTTAAAAAAGTCTTAATAATATGGAGGAATATTTTAAAGAGGGAGAGATAATGGACGTACTGAAGCGTACTGCAGAATGAGGAATTAATTGTAAAATGCTTAAGGTCTTATGTCATATATATAGTAGAACAAAAGTGGTATGGTGTGAACACTTTAGAACAAATCACAAAAATTCGGGTTAATTACCCCCAAAAATTTCGTCCAAAGTTTTCCAGAATTTGGTCCAATTCCCTAGTCGATATAAACTAATTTGGAGATTCCCTATTAGATTTTTTGGCAAGAGACACAATGATTGCATAATTCTGTGGACACGTGCAAAAGATTATGAATTGCATGCATAATTCCTATTCTATTCCAAAATTAAAATCAATTAAAAATCCAATTTCCACGTGATATGCTCCTCTTATGAATTCCCAAAAATATAAGTATTTAATTGATATTAAATTACAACTAATTGACAACTCCCCAAAATCAAGGCAAAGGCCTACCATTTTCTTTCTCCAAATCAAAGCAAACAAATATTAAAATAAAGCATGCCTTACCTACCATGCCTACAAAGATACACAATTACAAGATAACAAAAATTGGCAACAGCACGATTTCATTCCAAGACTTTAATTAAATAGAAAACTAATTTTTTTTCTTCCATCAACTTCTTTAAACGATAATTTCTTGGCACTGACTTATTCAAACATTGCATTCCTATTAAATGGTAAATAAAATATATACAAATTAATTAAAATAATTCGGGATTCTACAGGTTCATGTGAAGTGTTCAGGGTTCATAGATCAAGTTCGGGATTGTCTAGATCTGGGGTCATCATAGGCCCCCGTGCATTGAGGTCGTAGATTTCCATCCAAGCTTGATCTACGAGCAAAGATGTAGAGGCATAAATGTCCAGGTGTCTTTCCATGTGTCAGGCGTTCGATGGGATGTTAGAGAACGACCTTAGATGGCCGCCATGTGTCTTGGTCCAAAGGTTGAGATTGCATGACCGTTGGTATTCCACAGTCTTCTATAAATACCTCAACTTTCACCCCCCCAATTTTTCACTTTTCACTCTCATCTCAGTAAATCGAGCTCGAGTTTGGAGATTAGTGGGTTTGGGAGCGACCATCCACAGAGGTAAGAGTTCGAGCCCTTAATTTGCTTTATTTGATTATAGTATAATGTCGAGTAGTAGTAGTACGGGGTCTAGTAGCAGTGACAGTAGCCAGGAACGTAGAGACTCAAACCATAGTGATAGGCCTGAGGACTTAGGTACCTCTATTATTCCTATGGCCATCCCTATTAATTCCCATACTGACGACCTGATATACCCCAAAGAATCGACCAAGTACAAAGAACATGTGGTTATTAAAATAGCTAGAGAATTCGAGGTCATGCCTATTTGTGACATAAGAGCCCTAAGGCCAACTGAGACTGTGTTAGGAGCTCGAGAGGGAGAGATGACCTTTTTCAGAGACTCTCTTAAGGCTGAGCTTAAGTGGTGCCTTCACCCGTTTTTCATCCATTTTTTGACCTCGAACTACCTGTGCCCGGGTCAACTAGCCCCAAACGGTTGGAGGTTGTTAGTATATTTCTTTATATTGTGTAGGTGTCTCGAGGTTGAACCTAGACTCAACCTATTACGAATAGTTTTTGACATGAAATTCTCTCCGAGCTATAACTGTTTTGTCTATTTATCCACAAATGGGGGATTTAGAACTCATGAGACCCCGAGCTCTCTCAGGGGTTGGAAATAACGCTTCTTTTTGGTAAAACCCCAGGACCCTGACCACCCTTTTAGCCCGAAGTATAAGGTACCCGACAAGCATAGGTTCAACGAAGGGCAGACATACTTCGAAGTTCTAGAGCGGGATAGGTTAAGGTTAGTTAATCATGATCCTTTGGCGAAAAAGATCTATTATTTGCTCGAGGACGACACCCTCGACCTTGCCAATGTGAAAGACGTCGAGGGTAAAATCTTTCATCTTTCTCTTGTCGTGTAGATTATTCTCGACCTCAAGTTCGGGCTAATCCCTTGTATTATTTTTACAGATTTGGAGATGTCATTTGATCCATTCGTGCTTCTTGATAATGTTTATCACAAGGCAAAAGGGTCGAAGTTCAAGGCCTCGACCTCGACCCAATCGAAGGGGAAGAAATGGGTAAGAGAGGTCGTGCATCCTGTCCCTATGGGTCAGGGTCAGAGCTCACGAAGCTCGACATCTCCCAACCAGCCAATGCCAAGAAGCCAGCTCGGGTCTGTACTCCTTGTTTTGGGCCGATCTCCTAGCGATGATGACAACCCTATGCCCATGAAGTCGCTTGAGGAGTCTGCTGACTATGCTCTTATTTAGGGCATAGTTGACAAGTACGAGAAAGAGTTCAATTCTCATGAAGGGGTTCGGACCCTCGAGCTCCTTATTTTGAAGGTCTATTTTTAATATGGTCGCTTTTGTCTCCTTTGAAAAGTTTTTGTTTCATCTTGACGTCGGGTGTGATACTTGTTTTTGCAATCTTTAAGTGTAGCTCGAGGTTTGAGGCTTAAGAGGCTGAATACCTCAAATTAAATAGCCGAGCTCGAGGCCAAGAGCGAGGCTGCGCACAAGAGGGCTCTCGACCTTGAGAAGGCCCCAAGGACGGCTTCTACTGACCTTAAGAAGGCTCGAGATGAGGTCGGGATTACCAAAGTTGAAGCTGAGGAGGCAAAGCTCGAGCTCGTTCAGTGTTGAAATACTTTTGAAAACGAATTGGTGAAGGCCCGAGAAGAGGCTCGAGCTGAGGCCGTTGAAGATTTCAAACAGTCCAATAAGTTCAAGACCCTTCTTGGTCAGTACGGGGCTGGATCATATCATTATGGCTTGTGGCTGACTCGTTCTTTTCTTTGGACCAAAATCCCTGAGGATTTGAAGCCTGTGGTCGAGGAGCTATGAATGGTGAATGAACTGGCCAATGACCTCGAGATCTCTGCCTCAGAGGTCGATGATGAAACCGATGGTGATAGAGGAGACGATGCTGGGACACTGATCATGGAGGTAACAACATGCTAATTGATATTGATTAGGACTGACACCAAACTTTCTTTTGTTATTATTATTATTATATTTTTTTCTTTTGATTGGTATGAACATTACCCGATCTGGGCTTATGAACTTTTGATTTCTAAATGCAAAGTATATTGCCCAAACTGGGCTTCGAGAGACTTTTTGTTATCAATTCATGCATCTTATTTTTGCTATGAGATTGTGCGTGGGTATTGTGTTCGTGTGTGGATATTATGGTTTTGAATTCGAGCTATTAAATTGTTAAGAGCTCAATCATATGTCACAACCAATAAACTCGATTGTTGACATATATAGCCCGGGGGTGAGTAATAGTTCGAGGATATAGTATGTCTTAATAATACTTATCCTCGAGACTATGAAAAATTGGGCTTCGACGTCGAAGCTCGAGGATGTATTTTCAGGCTCCGAATAGGAATGTCGTGCTAGGGTCAACGAGATCGAGTATCGGTATCGTGTGCGGTAATTTTTAACTTCACATATCGAGGGACGACTATTGGGTCGCTAATGATTCAAAAGAATAAGCTCGAGCTTGTCCCTTGTAATTTAAACAACTTCTTTCCTTTGTGGATACGATCGGGTATGGTCTTGTACGATAATCTTTATATCATACCCCGACCTCGACCTTGATATTCTTTGTTATGAGGGCATTTGGGGATCGATGAGGTCGGGCCTGATGATCCCGACCTACTGCCATTTGAGGTCTTGGCAGTGTGTGTCTGGTTCTATTGGTCGAGTGTCGGCCTAATGCACAGGGCATGGCCTTATGATAACTTGGTTGAGAGTTAGCTGCATGCGCGGAGCATTGCCTTATGCTAACTTAGTTCAGTGTTAGCTGCATGCGTGGAGCACGGCCTTATGTTTTGAAAAAGAATTAGCTGCATGCGCGGGGCACGACCTTATGCTCAGTTGAAAAAGATTTAGCTGCATACGCGATGCACGACCTTATGCTAAGTTGACAAAGACTTAGCTGCATGCACTGGGCACGACCTTATGTTAAGTTGAAAAAGACTTAGCTGCAAGCGCGGTGCACGACCTTATGCTAAGTTAATTAAAACTTAGCTGCATGAGTGGGGTACGACTTATACAGAGAAGTAGTAATGTAAAGGAAAAATCCATATATTATTAAAACGACTCAAGAGATATGATACTCGAGCTTATTGGAGCATGAACTGTTGGGGCATTAGAGCTCGAAAAGTAAAAATGAAATAAAGCAAACGTAATGTGGGCATGTAAACCTTAAAAGGAAAAACTGTAGCTATAGCTGGTTACTTGTAATAAATTTTCAGATTGTCGACGTTCCATAGCCTTTGGAGCGGCTTCCCCGATGTGTCTCTGAGGCTATAGGCTCCACCTTTTAGTTTTCTTATGACCTCGAAGGGTCCTTCCCATGCTGGTCCGAGCTTCCCTGGTATGTGTCCAGCAGCTTCTGTTTTTCTAAGGACAAGATCGCCAGCTCTGAACCTTCTTGTCTGGGCCTTGTTGTTGAAATGCTTCGTCGTTCTGTTATGATAATTTGCAGCTTTGAGTGAGGCTTGCTCTCTTACCTCTTCAAGCAAGTCAAGGTGTTCAGTAGTTTGTCTCTCCCTATTTATCTCGAGGTTCCTTATGGTGGAAAGGTTGACCTCGATTGGAATGGTAGCCTCAAGTCCAAAGGCAGGCATGAAGGGTGCCTCACCAGTTGCTATCTTGTGCGAAGTCCTGTATGCCCATAGTATAGAAGGCAGTTTATCAGGCCTGTCACCTTTGGCATCCTTTATTCTTGTTCGAAGGTCTTATAGGATGATCCGATTAGTTACTTCAGCAAGCCCATTACTTTGTGGATGTGATATCGAGGTCAAGTGATGATCAATCCCATGGTTGGCATAGAAGCTTCTGAACTGTGGATTGTCGAATTGCCTTCTGTAATCTGTGATGAGGACTTTCGGTATTCCAAACCTGCATATGACAGACTTCCATATAAATGATCTGAGCTTCGGCTTCGAAATTGTTGCTAGCGGTTCAGCCTCTACCCACTTTGTGAAATACTCCACTGCCATTGCTACAAACTTTAATTTTCCACTGGCCAATGGGAATGACCCAAGAATGTTGACTCCCCATTGTTTGAAGAGAGCTGAGTAATGAATAGAAGTGAGCTCCTCAGTAGGAGCATGTATGATGTTGTCAAACCTTTGGCACTTATCGTACTTCCGAACGTAATCAACAGCATCTTTCTTCAAACTTGGCCAGTAGTACCCATACCTTATCAACTTATATGCAAGAGTTCGAGCTCCTTGGTGATTTCCACAAATACCTTCATGAACTTCAGTTAAGGCTTGAAGAGACTCAAAAGGTTTGAGACATCTTAGATAAGGGAGTGTGAAATTTCTGCAGAACAGGACTCCTTCGATTAGACAATATCTAGCCGCTCTCTATCGAATGCTTGTAGCAAGTCGAGGGTCTGCAGGTAGGTTGCCATTACTTATGTAATCAACTATTGGATCCATCCAAGAGGGCTCATGGTCGATGTCCATGATACTTGACTTTTGAGCTATGTTGGGTTCTACAACTATCTTGGCGTGCACGGTTCTATCGAGCCCGTCCACTCCCATGAAGACGAGTCTGGATAATGCATTAGCTTTGGCTTTATCAAATCTGGCCACCTTCAAGATTTCACAACTTATGAACTGCATTTGGAGGTCATGCACTTTCAGACAGTATAAGTTCATCTTCTCGTCCTTTCTTTCAAAAAACCCTCGATTTGCCCCACTATTAGCTGTGAGTCACTGAAAACATTGACATGCTCTAACTCAAGGTTTTTTTGCAAGTTCCAGGGCTATGATAATGACTTCATACTCTGCTTCATTGTTGGTGGCCTCAAATTCAAATCTGAGCACATATTATATTTCTGTAGCCTTGTCCGGGCTGGCGATGATGATGCCGACCCCCGAGCCCGAGCTATTGGATGCTCCATCCACAAAGATCTCCTATATTTTCAAGGTCGTGCTCGGGTCTTTAGCCTGTGTTTCTAAGGGCCTTATAGTGAGCTCTGTTATGAAGTCGGCCAAAGCTTGAGCCTTGATTGTAGATCGTGGCTTGAATTCTATGTCAAATTCACTAAGTTCAATTGCCCATTTCAACAGTCTTTCTGAGACATCCGGCTTCTGGAGTATGTGTCTAAGATGTTGGTTAGTGAGCGCAACAATTGGATGTGACTAAAAGTATGGTCGTAATTTTCTGGCAGCTATCACCAAAGCGAGGGCGAGCTGTTCTACAAGTGTGTATCATGTTTTTGCATTAAGAAGTACTTTACTTACATAGTAAATAGGCTACTAAACTCTTCCTTCCTCCTTTACCAAGACTCCGCTTACTGCATTATGAGAAATGGTCAAGTATAATAGCAACGTGTCACCAGGTTCGGGTTTGGTAAGGACTGGAGGTGTTGATAAGGTCTGCTTAAACTCCTGAAAAGTTAAGTTACATTCCTCGTTCCAGTCAAAGATTTTATTTTTTCTAAGTAGTTTGAAAAAGGGGAAACACCTGTTTGCTGCCCGGGAAATAAACCTATTCAGTGCTGCAACGCGACCTGTCAACTTCTAAATATCCCTTTTGCACTTAGGGGCCTCGATACTCATCAGAGCTTGGATTTTATCAGGGTTTGCCTCTATTCCTCCGTGCGTGATCATAAAACCCAAAAATTTTCCAGATGCCACCCCAAACACACACTTTGTAGGGTTGAGCTTCATGTTGTACTTCCGCAATATAGCAAACACTTCCTCAAGATCAGAGACATGATCATTCACCTGTTTGCTCTTAACCATCATATCATCCACACATGCTTCAACTGTTTTCCCAATTAATTCGACGAAGATCTTGTTTACCAACCTTTAATACGTTGCTCCAGCATTCTTCAGTCCAAAAGGCATGACCCTATAGTAATAGATGGTTGTGTCAGTCATAAATTTGGTGATACCCCGAAAATGCATCCAAGAAGCTGTACAACATATGACATGATGTGCTGTCCACAAGATTGTCAATTCGAGGTAGAGGATAACTATCTTTGGGGCATGCTTTATTCAGACCTGTGAAGTCAATGCAGACTCACCACTTCCCATTAGCCTTCTTGACAAGAACTACATTGACAAGCCAATCAGGATACTGTACTTCCCGAATGAATTGTACCTTAGCAAACTTAGTGATCTCTTCCTTTATGACATCTCGTCTTTCCGGTGCAAATTACCTTTTTCTTTGGTTTACAGGTCTTTCTCCAGTTTTACATTGAGTCTGTGCACTGCAACCTCTGGGTTAATTCCAGGCATGTCCTCAACATTCCAAGCAAATAGATCAATGTTGCGAGAGAGATAATTCGGTAGTTCAGACATGATTGCTGTATCTAGCCCCCAATCGATTGTCACTTTCCTGCCAAGCTAGAGCTCGACCTCTTCCAATCTTTCCACCAGAGCCAGTCTCCTGTAATTTTCATGCTCGAGCTCGAGCTCTGTAATTTGCATAAAGTCGCTCTTAATTTTTTGAACACTAGTCACATAACACTGTCGTGCCACTGTTTGGCTGCCTCGAACTACCCCGATTCCATCACTCGTAGGAAACTTCATAGCCAGGTGGAAAGTTGAGACAATAGCTCGAATTCTGTTGAGAAGTGGTCTTCCCAATATAGCGTTGTAGGCTATTGGAGTACGGACAACTTCAAAAGTGGTGATCTGCGTCACTTGCTTACCTTCTGACCCCGATGTTAAAGACAACCTGACGATACCTTCCGGGGTGATAACCCCACCTCGAAACCCTTGAAGAAGTGTTTTGACTGGTTTGAGCTATTCCGATGAGATCCCCATTTGAACAAAGGCTTCATGAGATAGTACATTAGCCGCACTTTCATTGTCTACCAGAATTCTCTTGACTTCAAAGCTTACGATGAGGGAATACTATGCCTTCCAAGTCCCTTGTTCCAAAGGTGATGTCCTCTGTAGAACCAAGATCTGATTTTGAGATGATTGGAGGCTGCCTAGCATATTGTTTATGCCCGCTACTAGAATCTTCCCCCGAAGTTGTTCCACCGACAATGATGTTGATAGTACCTGCAGTTGGTTGCTTGTTTTCCCGACCCTCTAGGGCCTTGTTTCTGTTCTGATTATTCCTTGGGCACTTGTCATTGTTAACATAAGAACCCAAAAAATCTCTTTTTATAAGAGCTTCAATCTCTCATTTTAAAGCGAAACAATCCTCCTTTGTATACCCGTGGTCTCTATGGAAATCACAGTACTTGTTCTTGTTGCGAGCATCGGGTGGAGATCGTAACCTGGGAGGCCACTTCAGTTCCTTCGAGTCCTTGATCTCCATCAGAATGTTAGACCTCGAGGTGTTCAAATAGGTAAAGGATGTTGAGGAGGGGTCCTGCCTTGGCTTGACCCGAGGTACATCTTATCTCTGATTGGACTCACGTGGCCTTTTCTGATCAGACTTTCATGATGAGGAAACTTTTCTTTTTGGGGCCATGGTTTCTTCCATATTGATGTATTTCTCAGTTCGTGTGAGTAGCTTGGTTACTGATTTTGGTGGGGTCTTAGACAATGACATCTTGAATGATTCACACTTAATGACGTATGTCAAAGCTGAGACTGCGATAGTTATATGTAGATAGGAAATTTGAAGCCTTTCTTTATTAAACCTGGTCATGAAACTGCGCAGTCTCTCATTGGGTCCTTGACGCATCTACAGGAGTGATGCGACTGTCTTTTTGATTTGCTTGCTGCTAGCAAAGAAAGCGGAGAACTTATCGGCCAAATATGAGATTGAGGCAATAGAGTTGGGTTCCAATGTGGAAAACCAATCTCTAGCTGCGTTTGTGAAGGTCTGCGGGAAGGCCTTGCACATTACTGCATCTGGTGCAACCTATAAGTTCATGATGTCCGTGTACACATTGAGATGATTGATGGGTCGGTTGTCCCATCATACTCCTTTATCCGAGGATACTTGAACCTGTCCGGGAAAGGATACGAGAGGACTTCTGGAGTGAATGGCGTATTGGGGGTGACCCTGCTGCTGCCCAAGTATTTTGTTGCATACCTGCTGCTATCCCTTCTTGAATAATTCTAGCAAGTTCAACGGAGTCCATTGTAACAGACCTTGAACCTGAAGCCACTTGTGGTGTACCCGAAGTTCCAACCCCGCCATCATTATGAGCTATATGTCGGATTCGAGCCTAGGCATCTGCCATAAAACCACCTTCAGGGGTTGGAGTACGCGACGAGTGCGAATTTCTCTGGCTTAAAAATTGGGTTAATGCAGCAACCTGTTGACGAAGTTCCACAAAAGCTCCGGTGGTAACAACAGCTCGAGGAGGTGTTGGCATCTCTGACGATTCTTCTTGAGGGACATGGCATTCCTCAGGAGGAGGAGGGTTATTTGGGACGGATGAGCTTGCTTGAGGAATACCTAAACGTGTATTGGCCATGGCTTTTGCTAGCACTTCCCACAGACGGCGCCAATGATGCTATCAAAAAATAGTACCTGAAAGATCTCGAACTTGATGATCGAACTCCAAACTTTATGAACGCGAGTGATCTTCGAATACCTGAAATAAAGGCAATGAGGTATGTGCTCGTCACCCCTCCGATGCTTAAGTCAGATAGGAAATTTAGTGCGTGAGGTTATAGATTGGAAATAATGAAAAACGTATCTCAAGAATGAGCCCGATTGTGTATTTATAAGTGTTGATGATAGAGTCCTAGAAGGATTTATCCATGTATGATCCTTATCCTCGTAGGATAAGGAGTTAGTGTTTCATTCTGAGTGTTCAACCATTGTTTGAGTCGAAGAAGGAGTCAAATAGGGTAAGGATTGTAGCTTAAGTAGAATTAGTGCGCTCATAGGTCATTAAGAAGGACTGGCGAGTTGACATACAAACCCAACCTCATAGGCCTGACCTTGATTTGGTGGTTTTGGGGGGTATTAAGATCGGGATTCATGTGAAGTGTTCGGGGTTCATAGATCGAGCTCGGGATTGACTAGATCTAGGGTCATCAGTATGAAATCTTGATAATACTACAGGCTAATGGGAAAAATTAGAAGAACTTTATTTGACTAAGTCTTTACCTAATAAAATTTTTCTTTTAGAAGATTTTTTAGTTTTAAAATTGATTTGTCAAAAGACCTAGATGATAATCTTGATGTACATTTAATAAGTTAGTACAAGATATCACCAATACTGGAGACAAAGTGTCTGAAGCATATAATAAAGCTGTGATCCTAATTAATTCCATACTTGAAATCTATAAAGATGTTAATACTGCCATTAGGTATGGTAGAGAGTCTTTGACCCTGGAAATAGTTATTAATGCCTTAAGAAGTAAGGAATTGGATGTAAAAGCTAAAAGATATGGTAAGGAGTTTTAAAACCTGTTTGTAAAAGGTAGGTCTCTCACTAGGCAAAATTTAATCAGAAAAGTCATAATAAGAATAGTACCTTTAAGAAAAAAGGGAAAGGAAAGTATAAGTCAAAGTCCAGAAATGGGAATAGAAGTGTTATGGGTGTGGAAAAAATGGACACTATATCAAGGATTGTTATAAGAAAAAGAATGACCAAAAAGTGGATAAAGGGAACGTTGTTGAGCCATTAGATGATAAGACTGTAGATGTCTATGTGGTAACTGAATCCATCACTGATCTGAATATTGCAAATTTTGCAGACAACAGTGGTCAGAGTTTTGAGTGGATTTTGGACTCAAGTTGCACATTCCATATGACGTCTAGAAGACCTTGGTTAGAAAACTTTAAGGATTTGGATGGGATAAAGGTTATTATGGGAAATAATGTTGCTTGCAAAGTTAAAGGAATTGGCAGTGTTACTCTAAAATTTGAAAATGGATACACGTTTACTCTTGACGGAATGAGCCAGATTTGAATAGGAACTTAATTTCAATTGGTAATCTAGATGACATAGGTTTGCAAGAAAGGATT